AACAAAGCTATCTCATTCACAGTTAGCCCAAAAAGCTTGATAAAGAGAGATTTCTAAAACTCCTTATCCAGAAGCAAACTTCTCCTCCTTCCAAAGAGCTATAGTGTAAACACTTGAAGGTTTCCTTGCCTCAAGTACCACACCACGTTGAAGGATATAACTTTTGATCAAACTTCTTGATTAAAAGGGGGTAGATCAACTTTCTCACAAGTTGATCTTGCAAGTCCTATTGTTCGAATCTTGCAGTTGTTGAAGAAGCGTGACCTTCGAAGGAACAACAAAGCCAGCACAAGTGCAGTAGCAACATTAGCCTTGCGAAGATATACCGTGCAGAAATTCACACAAGTGTAATTGTTGGTTCATTATTCAACAACCAACTACATAGTAGATTTTGAGGACGTAGAAGGATTACCCCACCTTCGAACCTCGTTAAAGTTTGCGTTTCTCTCTCTCTTATCTTTACTCTTACTTGCAATTATATTAACTGTGAAAACTAACGCATCCATATTGATTACTGCTCTAATAACCCACCAACTTCCGCACACAATTTAAGGTTCACAAGAACTCTAGAATAAACACTCATTTTCACGTTTTCAAAAGAAACAAAAAAGTTTTTAAGTTGTAACAAAGTCTATTCACCCCCCCCCCCCCTCTAGACTTTGTATCTCACCACTTTGGGACCACCAATTGGTATCGGAGCGCACTTCTCACTATCTACATTTAGATTAACGAGAAGCGATCATAATGGTGAACAATATGGATCACGGTTTGCCCAAGTTTTCTCTTCTAGGTTATGATGATTGGAAGATCATGATGGAAGCACACCTTTACGCTCTACATGATTGCATGTGGATGGTGCTTGAAGATGGACCCTTGAAAATCCAAATGGAGAACCCTGAGAGGAATCCAGCCAATCCTGATGTTGTCCAGTACATTCCAAAGCCCAAGGAGAAATGGGATGATAGAGATTGCAAGAAGCACAATCTGGAGAACGTCGCCAAAGCAGGCATCTTCAAGACACTTGATCCCATCACCTTCTTCAAGATCAAGCATCTCAAGACTGCCATGGAGATTTGGCAAGGTCTTGGGAAGCAGTGTGAGGGATCGGAGGACCTGAGAAAGCAGAAGATAGAGGTCCTACTTGAGAAGTTCAAAAGCTTCAAAATGCTTCCCGGAGAATCATTTGATATGTTGGATGAAAGATTCCACAAAATCTTAAATGATCTTGCATCACTTAACCACGTTCTTTCTCCCAAAGAAAAGAATGTAAGGTTACTGAGATCTCTTCCAACTAAGTGGTACACCAAAGCCACAGCCATGGAAGAAGGAAGAAACCTTGAGAACTACACTATCCAAGGTCTCCTTGATGAGCTTAGAACCTATGAGCATGAGCTGATGAAGAAGAAGGAAGAACAAGTCACTCTCTTCCCCACGGCATTGATGACAACTCCTAGAGTCCCACCAAGTGAAGGGACATGCCCAAGGAACTGTGACATACCTTCCTCCAGCCAGCCGCCAAGCTCAAAAATGGAGAACTATGATGAGGAATTTACCATGATGGTCAAACAATTCCGGAAGTTCAAGAAGTTCTTCAAGAAAGCTGACTCAGTCAGAAGGCCATCCAAGGGAAAGCCACAGGTAAGTGACTCCCTTCCTGAATCTTATTTGTGTTATAACTGCAGGAAACCTGGTCATTGGAAGTCAGTGTGCCCGTACCCAAAGGTGGAGAAGTACGGAGAAAGAGAAAGGAACGAAAAGAAGAAGAAAGCAATGGTTGCAGCTGAAAGTGACGAGTCATCCAGCTCAAGCTCGGATAAAGAAGCCCTCGTCTGCATAGAGCGCAGAGCTGAGAAGTCCAACCATGAGGATCAGTGGACTATGTCAGAAGATGACACCCTCTGGCTAATGGCCAAAGATGATGTTGATCAAGAGGTAACTTCACAAACCTCCTGTTCATCTTCTTATGAAAGCATACCAACTTCTGAAAGTCTTTTTGACAAGTTTAAAAAGATAAAGATAATGGAAGATTTTGAGGAAACTTCTTCTTCGTGTTCCTCTTGTTCTTCTTCTTCCTCTTGATTTTCTTCTTCACCTTGGTTAGTCGCTTGAGGTATCTCCCCAATTTGCAGCTGCGTGTTGGTGTATATTCCCGTGTTCTCTTCATCGTCTTCGACGTGTATTCTCTCTAATGAATCTGCAAGATCATCACAAATATCCTTTCTCGCCAAGCGAGGATTATCTTCGGAAAACACAACGTGAGGGGACTCCTCAATGGTCAAGGTTCGTTTATTAAAGACTCTATAGGCCTTGCTACGAAGTGAATAACCCAGAAAAATTCCTTCATCCGACTTGGCATCAAATTTGCCTAAGTTGTCTTTGCCATTGTTATGAATAAAACATTTGCAGCCGAAGACTCGAAGATGGGAAAGGTTTGGCTTTCTCCCTTTGTATAGTTCATAAGGCGTTTTCATGAGTATCGGTCAAATGACGGCTCGGTTTAACACGTAGCTCGCGGTACTCACGGCATCCGCCCAAAAATACTTAGGGATTTTTGCCTTATTGATCATAGTTCTAGCCATCTCTTCGAGACATCTATTTTTACGTTCCACCACTCCATTTTGTTGTGGTGTACATGGGGCGGAGAAATTATGATCAATGCCGAGTTCGTCACATAAATCTGAGAATAGATTTCGTTCGAACTCTCCCCCATGATCGCTTCTTATGGCTACTATGGTTGTTTCTTTTTCATTTTGAACTTTCTTTAGAAAATTTTTGAAAACGTGAAATGCCTCACTTTTGTGAGTTAGAAACAAGGTCCATGTAAACCTAGAGTAGTCATCGACAATCACAAACGCAAAGTAATTACCACCAAAACTTTTCGTTCTAGAAGGACCAAAGAGATCCATGTGCAAAAGTTGAAGCGGTCTAGACGTTGAAACAACGTTCTTAGACTTAAACGAAGCCCGAACTTGCTTCCCCTTTTGACATGCATCACATATGGTGTCTTTTTCAAACTTAAGTTTTGGAATGCCAATTACTAAGTCTTGTGAAACCAATTTGTTCAAAAGGTTCATGTTCATATGAGCTACCCTTCGGTGCCATAACCAAGTGTCTTCCTCTTTACTCATGAGGCACTTAGCAAAGCCGGAAGGAGATTTGTCTAAGTTAACCATATATATGTTATCGATTCTATCACCACGTAGAATGACCTTATTGTCACTAAGGCGTTCTACCGTGCATGATTTTGAATCGAAGGTCACACGGTTTCCCTTGTCACATAATTGACTTATGCTCAAGAGATTGTGTTTAAGACCTTTAACAAGCAAGACATTATCT